TATTATATATATATATATATATATATATATATATAAATTTATTAATAAAAAGGCAAGAAAAATAAAAAAAAATTTTATTGAATGAATTTTAATAATCAAGGTATTTAATATGTTGGAAAATATGTTTTATGTTACTAAGTTTACTGATGAAAATATTTGCTGTTCATAGCACCAATTTTGAGATAAAAATTATCATATTTGCCACCAACATAACTAAATATGCGTGCGGCCCTTTGTTAGTCAACCTGCTGTGCAATTGGCCCTTCACTCAAAAAGGTTGTGCACTCCTAGTATATATTCTTTTTTGTGTTGATAAGAAAAAACTTAATTAGATAAAAAAAAACTTTTTCAATTTTATAAACGTTGCATTTGCATATAGAATAGAAATTAAGTACAAAAAAAAGGAAAATAACTGCATGTTGAGGGAAAAAAATTCCGATAATTTCTTCTACCGGCAATTACATGTTTACAACAGCAAATGAAAAAAGCCTAGCCAATCATCTTCTACCTGCAATCACATGTTTGCAACAGCAAATGAAAAAAGCCTAGCCAAACATCCTCTACCTGCAATCACATGTTTGCAACAGCAAATGAGAAAAGACTGGCCAAACATCTTCTACCTGCAATCACATGTTTGCAACAGCAAATGAAAAAAGACTGGCCAAACACTTGTAGACCGTGACATCACTGACGTAAGTTGAATGCATGAGAAGGTTATGTCACCAAAAACGAGTTTTATAAAATGGATGATCTAAACTTTATTACAATCGATCAAAATACGATCAAGCAAAAAAAAAAAAAAAAAAAAAAAAAAAAAAAACAGCACTTTTTTAGTATTTGTTCATTTAACTTGTGGTCTCCTTTCATGCTTTCAACTTTTACAAAAAAAAATGCATAATCTTAAACTTTTAATAAACAAAAGAATAATAAAAATTTATGTTTAATTTCTTTAAATCAGCTATTTAATTTCTTTAAATCAATCATTCTATTCCCATTATGTGTAGGTGTCTTCTGAGGATGCAGTGACCAGTAAGAAGACCCATGATCTTCCTTAAACTGTTTCTATTAAGCTTTAAGAGCTCCTTTTGACGTACACTAGGACAGTCGCAATTCAGCTCCTTAGCTTGTCTCTGACCGTCAGCAACGCTCCATTGCTCATGGGCAATCTTGGCGTAGAGCTTGAAAATGGATGCCCTAAATGAGGTGGGAGAAATTCCCAGCGCAGGTTCAGGACCCCAGAAAATTGCATTAGAGCCAGCCCGTGCTGCTTCATCAGTTAGCTCCTTTCCACCAATACCCATATTCATATATCCAGGTACTCAATGCAGGGATACCTTGTTATGAGCGGACAGGTCGCAGAGGACCGAGAAGCATTCCCACTCTAACAAAGAGATGAATTTACACTTTGACAGTGATAGGAAAGCAGCCTGACTGTCAGAACAGAAATTTGAAAATTTGTGGGAGGTTATAAAAATTGTTCTTATCCTCTCTCATGGTAAAGCAACAGTCAAAGGGGGTTTTCAGTCAATAAAAGCTTATTGGTTGAAAACCTCACTGAAGACTATCATTTCACAAAGGCGTGTGTATGATTATGTTTCATTTATAAATGGAATAAAAAACATAGACATTAATGAAAAAATGCTAGATGCTTTAAAAGGATCTAGAACAAGATGGAGACATGCATTAGAAGCCAAAACAAAAAAGAAAAACTAAGAGAATAAAAAAGCTGAAATTTCTAGAAAAATAATAAAAGAAAAGAATTTGAAATTAAGAAAATCTAAATTGACAAAAACTGCTGCAACAGAACTGGATGTTCTTGATTCAGAAATTGTCAAACAACAAAATATGTTGAGAAATATTATATAACATAGCCCCTGAGTTTCTCGGGAAGCTTACAGTATTACAGAAATAAATTTAAAAATACTGAATAAAAAAGTTATTTTTGATTTTATTTTTCTCACAAGTTGCATAATTTTTCTATCTGAATTTTTATTTGTATATAATTAACTTTTCTTGACTTTTTTCCCTTTTATATTTCAATATTATCTTTTAAAAGAAAAGTTAGTTTGAAGTGAATTGGTGATTTTTAAAAATTAATATCTTAATGTAAGAAATGTTTTCGTATGTTTTAAGAGTAAATATTATTTGAGGATACTGATACATATCTCGCAGATTTGATTAACTCTTTATATCCTGACGACACTCATGCATTTGGTTCCACTTAACATTAAATAAAATAATGTATCCATAATCCAACGGATTTTCTTGGATCTTTTTATTTAAACAGTTTTCGTNACAAATGTTTTCGTATGTTTTAAGAGTAAATATTATTTGAGGATACTGATACATATCTCGCAGATTTGATTAACTCTTTATATCCTGACGACACTCATGCATTTGGTTCCACTTAACATTAAATAAAATAATGTTTCCATAATCCAACGGATTTTCTTGGATCTTTTTATTTAAACAGTTTTCGTATCTAACTGCAAAAACACACTAAAAGTTTAATCAATCATGATAATTAAAAATATGTTTCACAAGTTTTCTGAAAATATAATTTGGGATATAAAGTGTTTTTACGCAATTCCACTTTAATATATAAGTGTTTATCCTATTCAATATTAATAATTGTTTTCTCGAAATAATGTAGGAACCCTGCCCTGGGCAACTAAACACACTTTGTACGTTTCAATTTCACCTTTTTCATTTAAATAACCCAACCCAGCGATTTCCCAAAATTCTTTTATTTTTAGAAATTGCTACCAAATCCCTTCTTTCGCTCATAGTATTAGTTTCATCAAACATGGATAATTTCCAATTTTTAACTTTGGGACATTTTAAGCAGTCTTTATGATTTTTAGGAGTTCTAACTTTGGGAGATTTTAAGTCACTTTAAGTTAAAAATTAACTTTTAGGAATTTTTACTTAAGTATGATTTGCTTCATATTTCATGTTGTGCTTCACCTAATAATTGGGAACTTTACAAGAATAAAGACATTTTTGCCTCTGAAAACCCTCATCAAACTGTTTATTATTACTTTTGCGGTGATTTTCAACATCGTCATAGGATCTTAATCTCATGTTTACACCTTCAATATTATGATAGATATCAGTTCTACTATTATCTTGACACTGGCCAGTTAGCGTGCCTGACTGCAAAGCCAATGGCTGCGGGTTCGAAATCCGCTTTGGGCATGGATGTTTCTCTCTCTCTGTGTTGTCTTCTGATCTGTGAATGTATGAATGTGGACCACCCTATTAACGGGTATTTGTGGCAATGTGGCGTAGGTAATGTTGCTCGCCTTCGTGACTTTGGTTCACAGGTGCCCACTGAGTAGCGATAAATAAGCAACATTTCCGGCATCTTCTAAGGCGAAGAACGAAAGTTCAGTGCCTGCCTTTATTTTTAAAAAACTACTATCTTGACGTGGTTTCTAATTCGCAAAATATTTTTAATTCGTATTAAATCAGGCTTTACATGAAGTACTTTTGTTTAAATTGGTATGTTCTGGTATAAAACTTGCAAAATTACGTTTACTAGGTTTGGTGCCCAGTGCGGCTTCCATTAACTGTGGTGATACAACTTGATTGCACACACATAGTCATTATATTTCTTCAAAACTCTGTATTTGTATGCACTTTCAAACTAAAAATAAATGATTGAACACTATTAATGTGTGCCACTGTGTAAATTCCCAGTACAACACTGAATCACTGGCTGCTGTCAGATCAGCCTGCATGAGGACCGAGGGTGCACAGTCCTCGTTAAACTATTCTAAAGTAAAGTGTCCGCTCGCAGGAGCCATCCCCTCTGCGGAGGATCAAAATGGCGGTGGAATGTCTTGGGGGGGTCCCTTAAACGTGCTTTTTTCTTTTGGTGTTTTTGAAAAGTGCTTAATTTTCCCTTTTCTAAAATTATATTTTTCCTTCACCTTGTTAATTTTCGCTACAAATTATCCAGAAAGATACTGTTCACATTGTTCTATTGAACGTTTTCACGATTAATTCAACCCCAATCTATTTGGGCGCATCGTCTGTCCTTTACGTATGAAAACGCCATTCGATTTACATGATTCGAAAATTTTGACAATTGTCAAAAGCAATACCAAAAGTTTTTTTTGTTGTTTTTGACATGACAAGTAAACCAGATAAAACCGTCAATTGTCAAAAACTTTCCAACCCTATCTAATTATATTTTTTTTAAAGTGCTTAACAATATTATTTGAGTGCTTGAAAGGTGCTTATTTTTTGTTGAATAATTTGGCTACGCACCCTGTTATAGTTAAAAGATTTTTAAAAAAATATTGTATGTAGAAAAAGTTTAAAAAAAAAAAAAAAGAAACATTTAGTTCAGATCCAAAAGTTAGTGTTTGTTTGTGAACTTTTCAGGGTCTTTATGCGATGTCCATGAACTGTATGGAAGCTGCAGAAGCACAGTTTGGAACGGTTGTGAGGGTGAGTCAAAATTGTTTCGTTCTTTTTGTATTTTTTAGGGCAGTGATTCTCAACCACTGCTCCGCCAAATTTTAGAAATGATGTCGTAAAAATTATAATGCTTTTTTTTATGACGAGCTAAGTTTAAATTAAAGAAAAGTGTGTATATACTTTTTATACTTTTTCCATGCTTTATCAGCATGAACATCATCATTGGTGATAGTCTCTCTGTCTCTGACAATCCTAAAATGTTAAAAAAAAAAAAAGTTTTCGCAAAATTAATGACTATTACAATTATTAATTAACAAAAGAAAGCAAGCTAAATATTAACTTACAAAAGTAAATTAAAGCTAACAGTTAAAATAAGCTATGCAATTAATGGTTTAAAAAAAAACAAATTAACAGAGGATAACTAACAAAAAAAATTATTAATAATTCGCGAAAAAACAAGTTGACAAGGAATCACAAAAAAATACAATTAATGTAAAAAAAAACTAACAATTAATAACTATAAAAAACAAGCTAACAATTAATAAATAGTAAAAAAAAACAGTTAACTTGTAATTAATTCCTTGATAAATATTTTATTTCACATTAAAAATTATTATCATAAACTATTTTACACAGTGTATTATGGGTAAGTAAACAGCTTATAAACTTATTTTTTTCTTTGTATGCCATCAAACAACAAGCTATCCATTAATAAATTGCAAATAAAAACAGTTAACTTGTAATTAATTCCTTAATAAACATACTGTTGTTTTTATAGTATACATATACAGGGATGCGATTCCTCTGCGAATTCGCTGATTTCCGCATCTTTTCTTCAGATTTTTCCATTTCCCCCACTAATTTCGGCAAAAAAATTTTTTTGAGCAAGTTAAAATATTTTATGAGGATTTTAATTTTCTGCGGATCGAAAGTATTGAAATCCTCATTCCTTCCTTTGAAGTTTCTCTAAAAATCATTTCCTTGGGATAAAACTGGTTGACCTTAATATAGGGTTGAGATTTTTTCACTTTTGCCTCTCGAATTTCAGCCTTTTTATCAAAAACGCCGATTCTCTAAAAGTTTCTTTTTTTTATATATAAATATCTCGCTTTTTCCTTTATTTATTTATTTTTTTTAAATAATTTTTTTTTTTGAAAATTCAGTTATTGAAATAAAATAATTATATTTATTTACGATTTCCAAAGATAAGCAGAAAATTACAACTAAGTCCTACCTAATAACCCTTCCTCATTTTTACTTATTTTAGCGATTTTCTCCCCTTTTACGCACAGAAAATAAGATTTTTTCTGTATTTTTATTCGTCCGCCTGATTGCTCGCATTTTCGCAATGTAGACGTCGTGACCCTGTTGTCAGGCGTGAAACCAAACGAAAAAAAAAATAGAGGTAGACAATATTTATTTGCTCATTCAGTTAATCTTGTAAATTTTTATTTATTTTGTCGAAACAAAAACAATACAAACAAGCCTTTTGGAAATCTCAAGTTCAATAGACTCTGCAAATATCTCGATTCTTATTCACGCGATTTTAATATCAATCATCGATTTTCGTATTTACCTGATTTAAAAATTGAGCGTTTTGATTCTTATTCAGACGATTTAAATATCGTAGATTGCAATTCTTATTTACGAGATTTAAAAATCCAATATCGCGATTTGTGTTTCCTCGCTTTTAAAACCCTATGTAGCCATTTGTATTTACGCGAGCTTAAAATCCAATGTCGTGATTCGTTTTTGCGGTTGTAATATTAAACATCGATTTTCCTATTTATATGCGCTTTAAAAATTAGACATTGTGATTTGTATTCACTCGATTTAAAAATTATGCATTGTGATTCGTATTTACGTGATTTAAAAATTACGCATCATGATTTGTATTTCTGCATTTTTAAAAATTCGATATAGAGTTTCATATTCACATGATTTAAAAGCCTCATATTAGGATTCATATTCTCTCAATTTAAAGTCATGCATGTGATTCATATTGATAAAATTTTAAAATTAATCATTGGGTTTTATAATCACATGGTTTACAAGCTCAAAGAATGGAACTTTTTTCTCAAATTTTTCTCACGATTTTTTTCTCAAATTTTGTTTTCTCAAATTTTGTATATTTGTTGTTTTTTTTTTCAAATTTTTGTTTTCTCAAATTTTGTTCACATACGTGTGTATGTATGTATGCATGCATGTATGTACATCTACTGTATGTATGTACGTATGTACTTCTACTGTACATAAATGCATGCATTTATGTACAGTAGAGTCCCGATTAACCGAGCTATCAAATAATTCACACATCTTTTTTTTTTCTAGTTTATTTTTTATTCTTAAAACTACCGCCGAAAAAAATTCTGAATTTTATCTTCCAAGCACTCAATAAAACAAGCTGAAGGACAACACGAGATTACCGATGAAATAATCGTTAATATCATCAATAAAGAAAATGAATCTAGCGAAGATGATGAAGACAGTGACGATAAAAATCAGCATTTAAAAATCTCTCAACATAAAAAAAATCTGCATAAAAACTATCGAAAGTGCTATTGAATATATGGAACAACAAGAGGAGGCGACACCAGCTTTCCTGTTTATCCCTTAAAAAATGGCAAAATATGTCAAAATAATGTAAAACAAAGAACGATTAAGGACTTAAAACTCTAACAGGAACGAGTAAAAACTCTTTAATTCTCGTTAAGTATGCTCTTTAAGTGCTTTGAAGTAAGATTTTAATAATAATAAAAATTGTATGTGGTGGACTCGTATAAATTTTGCATCTGTTAAATAAATTACATTTATACCTATTCTTTTTTTTTCTCTCCATTTTTATACTCTTTCTTTTAACCGAGTTTTTCGGTTATCCGAGTTAGTCGCGGTCCACATTAACTCGAATAATCGCAACTTTACTGTATACGAGGGCGTTTCGAAAAGTAAAGATACAATGGATCGCATTCCTTAAAAAAAACATTTATTAGAAAACGTCAGTTACATCTTATTAACTCGATTATTTATTATTTTTCGACATAATCATCCCCGTTATCCAAACATTTGTTAAGTCAGTGCACAAGCTTTTGTATCCCACAGTCATAGAAGGTTGCCGCCTGTTGTCGGAACCACATTTCAACTTCATCTTTGATCTCATCATCATCGTGGAATGATTTTCCACCAAGATGTGACTTCAGGTAAAGGAATAAATGGAAGTCGCTGGGCGCAAGGTCCGGGCTGTATGGCGGATGGTTCAATACTTGCCATTTGCATTGTTTGAGTAGTGCTTTGGTTACGAGCGTTGTCATGAACCAAGCGGACTCCACTTGTCAGCATTCCCCTGCGCTTGTTTTGAATTGCCCTTCAAAGACGCTTCAAAGTCTGGCAATATGCGGCAGCATTAATTGTCGTTCCGGGAGGCATAAATTCCAACAGAAGAATGCCTTGTCTGTCCCAAAAAACAGAAGCCATAATTTTTTTTGTTGCTGAAATCGAAATTTTGAATTTCTTGGCTTTGGGTGAATTTGAATGGCGCCATTGCATTAATTGTTGCTTGGATTCAAGTGTATGGTGATAAGCCCACGTCTCGTCACCTGTCACAATGTGATCAAGGAACTCATCACCTGCTTCTGCATAGCGTGTGAGGAAGTCGAGTGCAAAGCCCATCCTTTTCTTTTTGTGTTCTTCTGTTAACATTTTTGGAACCCAGCGCGCACACAATTTCCTGTACCCTAACTTGACAGTCACAACTTCATAAAGAGTTGTCATTGACACTTCCGGTATGATCTGACGCAATTCTTTCAATTTGAGACGTCTATTCGCACGAATTGCTTCCTCNAATCGTTTTTTGATAGCTTCGTATTTCTCAGTGTTAGGAGGTTTTAAAACAATATCGCTAATCGAACTTAAAACATCTGAGTCGACCGCTGCAAGTACGTAATTAAACTTTGTATCATCGGTGGAAATTTTAGCCAAACTGAATTGTGCTTCTAGCCGGACAAACCACAAGGCGGGATTTGATTTCCAAAACGGAGGTGGTTTGACTGCCACGTGAGCAATTTGATTTTCGTCTAGAGTTTCGTTAGGCATTGCGGAATGTTTAAACAAATTAAAAGAAAATTCTCAAATAAGTCGTGAATTTAGTTAACAAATTTGATTATTGATTATTATTAAAAATAATGTAAAAATTGAAGAACGCGAACATTGCTATAACAAAAATGCCATGTTTAGTGAGAAGTAAAAATAACTATTAAATTAGACGGTAATAAAAAATAAAAAAAGCCACACAAGAAAATAAAAGTTACCGCGTGATACCCCTAGTGGAAACCAATTTAAAAAAATAAACTTACTGAAATTGTTGAAACGCCATATCCTGAGTTGATGTTGAACGCGTGTTCGAAAAAAGGGTCACCAATTTGGTAAATTGAGTTTTATAAGCATTAAAGCAAATTACCAATTAAAGTTTGAAGAATAAATTTTAATTTAAACATAATTAATTACAAATAAATACAGAAAGTTAAAAATGAAATTAGGATCATTGTACAGCCATGCTTCACCGACCGTGCCACGAGCTAAAATGTGAATATCCTCGGTTGCTTGTAGAAAAACTGGTTTTACGTGACTCCTGCAAGTTGAAGTAAAAGTTCTTTTTTTGCATCACCAAGTGAAGGTGAGATTACAGGGCCAGGGCACTGCCGCAAACTAATTTTTTTGTTGTGTTCCGTCTTTCAAAATCGTTAAAAGTGTGCTGCGACAAAAAAAAAGTTTGAGAATCACTGCTTTAGGGCAGTGTTTCCCAAAATGTGGTACGCATACCCCCCACGGGTACGGGAACAGTTTAGCGGGGGTACGCGTTCTTATGCGAAATATCTTGCAGCAAACAAAAATTTCGCAGAATTTTATTTAAAAACAAAGCTAGCCATAAAAATTTACGATTACATATTTTTCTATTGGCTATTTTTTGCAGAGTTAATAAATAATAATTAGTGGTGTCAACAGCCAGTTGTGATTTTTAACTTTTGTTCAATTTTTGAATAGTAAAAAATGAATTCATTTTTTTATTAGTGGTACAGAGTGTTATGAAAAATTTAGAAAGGGTACACAAAAGTCATAAATTCGGGAAACACTGCTTTAGGGTAACACTGGAAAATGGGATATTAGGAAATGTTTTTATTTGCACTCTTGAGCACAGGAAAATGTTTTCCCTCCTGCTGGAAGTGCCTGTATGCAGTATCTGTGTTTTTTCTTACAAAATTTCTTAGATAATCTTATTTTTTTTACCTTTCAAGATGATTTTGTAAAAATGAGCAACCTATTTATTATAAACAATTTTATTATTTATTTTTAGAGCTCGACAACCACGGAACTACGCATACTAGCTAGCCTAAATTTAGCTATTGTTTATCTTCGAAGCAAGCGGGATCAAGAACTGGGTGAGCTTTTAGCTCGCTTAAACCCAGAGACGCTGCCTCTTGTGTAAGTAATCTTTTGTACTTTCTTTTTTTTTTCAAAAGTTGCCCTGAATTGTGCACACACATGGTGATCTATCATTAATAATTTTGCACTTGGTAGTGTTAAAAACTAGCGTTAATTTATGTCTGTCATGTATTGTTATAATTATGCCAGAAAGGCAGAACTTGATATCTATGGAAGAAATGCCTTTTGATATCCATAGAAAATTTTATCTTCAATTGACAATAATTTTTTATGACAAAAAGAAAATATTTGAATTTACATTTTTTTTTTTAATTTAAAAAATAAAAAATGTTTAAATGAGTTATTTTTTTAAAAATTTTTAATTTTTTCTTGATATACATTGTTTTATACCTTTATTACTTTTCAGTCAGTACTTCTCCATGGTGCGTAGCGTTTTTAAAAAGCACTTAAAGGTGCTTATTTTTGATTTTCGTTATTTAAACGCCCTTAAAGGTGCGCTTTTCACGGGGTGTTTTTAAAAAGTGCATCATTTTCCTTTTTCAAAATTGAGATTTGTTTTCGTCCCCACGTTGATTTCCACCCCGTATAATGCAAAAGCGTGCTTTTCACATTGTTCTATTCAACGTTTTCACAATCCATTTTGGCGTACAGTCGGTTCGTAGCTTATGAAAGCGCCCATCATTTTACATGTTTGAAGAAATACTTGCGAGTCCGTATGTGCGTCTACTGAGCTGGTTTCGACGAGATTATTGCCTTCTCTTGTGCAACTGTGCTGCATTTTGCAAGATATTCTCCAATTTCAGACTCCATTTTCCACCCTTTGATATCGAACCGAAAAATCTCTCAATCATTTTGTAACAGCTAATATAATCAAGAAAAGAGTCCTTTGTCAGAAACTAGTTATTTTTATCACGATCATGTAAAGTCTTTTAAAATTATTTTGCAATTTGTTAATGTATATAGTGCTTAAAAAGTACTGAAAAGGTGCTTATTTTTTGTTGAAAGATTTGGCTACGCACCCTGTTCTTTATAAATTTTCAGTTCATTTTACCTAGAAAAAAAGGAAGTGTCTTGTTCGATTTTTAACCATCCCTCCATATTATAGTCTTGTTAAACATTGAGTTGTTAGTAAACAATATTCAATATTGGCTAGCAAAAGGTAATGTATAAATATGAAAAGGGTATCCGCGCACCTGGAAAGTCATGAAAAATCATGGAAAGTCATGAATTTCAGTATTGAACAAAATTTGTCATGATTTTTACCATTTTTTAAAAAAAATCATGGATTTAGGTGTCCGAAAAATCTTATTTTTAAAATAGAATCCCCCCCCCCAATTTCATCCTGTTCCAAATATCTGAATTCCTAACAAAATCACCACCCCTTCATATTTTATTAGAATATTAAATAATTTTATCATGTTCTTTAAAAATTATGGTGTTCTTTCAAAAAATGAAAGAAAAAACATTATTTCTAGAGCGAATCATCTTTTAAACTTCTGAGATTTAAGAATTTGTATAATTTTTTTTTTTTTAATTTTATCAATTCAAAATTCTAGTTGAAGCAAACCAGTCATTGGTGAATTTTTTTTATTCTGAAATGAGAACAGAAAAGTCAGGAATATTTCTTTCCTTTCTGATGAACAAGAAAAGTATATTTAGAATATAATTCTGCAGAAAAAAAAGGGAAAACAATTATTTGCTTTTGTATTTTTTCAGCTATTTTATTGTTTCAACTCTTTCTTTATTCTGTTTTTTAAATTTAAAATCTTTACATATGAAGATGCAGAGTATAACAGTTTTGGTTATACCTATCATTTCAATTAATGTTATTATCATGCTTTTTTAAATTTATTGTTACGTTTTTGTTGGAGAAAATAGTAACTTCGTTAAGTCCTGAAAAATTCTTGGAATTGGTAATAGAAAATCATGAAAAGTCATGAATGTGAAAATCTGAAATGTAGCAGATACCTTGTACGAAGAAAAAAATGAATAGGATTTGGTTAAGGTGATTTTTTGGTCACTTATTTATCTATATGATCTATAATTGTTTTCAAAGTGAGCAAAAAAAAATGTCATTTGTCAATGTCATTTGTCTAACAATCTGTTCAAATTCTACATTGCCTCCTCATAAGTAGTAAAATTTTCCATTTTTTTTATAAAGATGCAATTGCGGAATATTTTATCTGAAAAACAGGGAAACCGAAAAACTAAGAAATTTTTTGCTTGGTTTTTCCACAATTTTGAACAAGAATGATTGAAACTGTGGCGTAACTACCACTACAAATATTAAATACAAATCACTAGTATTTAAGATATGTTAGCGAGCTCATATCACGTCACCATTGAAGGGATTTAATTATAGACTATGTCAACCTTCATCTATCACGTCCGGGTCACCAATGTGTGGAATTAATTTTAGACTATGTTAACTTGATTCTATCTGAAGGTACCTTTTGATATATCAAGGTTGACATAGTCTATAATTAAATCCCTTCAAAACAAAACGCAAAATTTCCAATCATCGTTGAAGTTCAGTCTTTGATTTCTAAGAGAGAAATGAAAAGGATGAGAAATAAAAAAAAATTATCCCTATACTTTACTTTGTAAAAAGTGCAAAAAGCATGGTTTTTTATTGGAAAACAAAATACATTTATTTTTTAATACAGTAGAGAATCAATAATTCAGTAGTGAACTGTACGGTACAGGGCTCGAAATAACTCAGAAATTTTACCCGTCCCCGTGGACAGCTTGTCCAAAAATGTACCCGTCCTCCTTTGAAACTAACCCGTCGCTTCTAAATAAATAAAAATATAATTTTCTCTTATTTATTACAAACATTTATATAAATTGCACTTTTTACTATATTAGTAGGTACTAGGATTACAAATACTAGGATTACATTATACAGTGATAAAAGAAATACTAAGTTACTAATAGTAAAACCTAGTATTTCTTTTATGAAATAATTTATTTCTTTTATGAAATAATTTAAAAGACGAAGTTCAAGTTATCTGGAATGTCAATTTATCCGAGGGTACTACGTTTTTTAAATGAATCAAATATGACGTTTGCCAGTTCCACAATCAAGCCAATGATTTACAGAAGTTTCTGCACAGAAATCAGAAGGGGGTTTTCCATTTAGGTACATTTTCATAATTGCGTTTAATGCTTTTTGTTTAAAACCAGTACGTCATGTGTTTTTTTGTAAGTTCATTGCTGAAAAGCCCATTTCAACCGCTTCAGTACTCCCAGACAGAGAAAACATCAATTCCACCATACGCAGTTTGTTGCTGTATTTCTAGATTAGAGGGTCATTTTAGAAGTGAGGTGGTAGACTTCTGTAAGATAACAAAAATTGAAAATGTATCACGAACATTAACGGGAAAATGGCCGTCCACGCGGACGTCAGATTCGAGAAATCGTTGTCCACGGGGAATTTTTGACCTCCGAGGACTACCTGTTTTTCGAGCCCTGGTACGGTATAAAGCTTTTTATGCAGTTTCAAGAAAACTTTGCCACCATTTTACACTGAGTCATCCATGAAGCTGAGTAGTAGACCCTATTTATTGAAACATAAAGGGCAGCAGACTTGGATAAGATTAAGTTTAAATCTCAATTAAAAAACTTTCTGCAAGGAAATTATTGACTCTTTTAACTAGTTGCATTCTTTCTTAATTATGACAAAATTTGTTTGAAAATCACTAAATTTATCAAAACTACTTTATTTTTACAAAGTATTTAAATCTTTTTTTTTTTTTTAAATGGCACCCTGGAATAGATGTGTTTCAATTAAACCACCATTTAACAAGACGTGATGAGAGTTTAAAAAAACCCGTAATGTCTGCTAAAGGCTATAGTGTAATTAAATGACAAGTTTTTCAATTGAATGCCAAAAGGCAAAAGTTTGTAGCCTGTAGAAAAAAAAATAATTGCTGTCCATCGAATTTTAGATGGCTTAAAATAAAATGGAATGATGTGATTGTGTGCAGCTTTGCGAAGCAGAGAGAGAAATATTTTCCTCAAACCAGTCTGTACTAGATTGATTGCAAGGTAGAATGGAGAAATTTTGACTTTTTCTATTTCGGAAATGAACGATTTTGGAAATGAACAAGTTTTCCAATTGAATGCCAAAAAGCAAAAGTTTGTAGTCAATAGTGAAAAAAAAAAAAATTGCTGTCCATCGAATTTTAGATGTCTTAAAATAAAATCGAATGATGTAATTGTGTGCATCTTTGCAAAGCAGGAAGAGAAATATAGTTCTCAAACCAGTATCTACTAGATTGATTGCGAGGTAGAATAGAAAAATTTTGACTTTTTCTGTTTCGGAAATGAACAAGTTTTCCAATTGAATGCCAAAAGGCAAAAGTTTGTAGCCAGTAGAAAAAAAAAACAATTGCTGTCCATCGAATTTTAGATGCCTTAAAATAAAATCGAATGATGTAATTGTGTGCATCTTTGCAAAGCAGGAAGAGAAATATAGTTCTCAAACCAGTATCTACTAGATTGATTGCGAGGTAGAATAGAAAAATTTTGACTTTTTCTGTTTCGGAAATGAACAAGTTTTCCAATTGAATGCCAAAAGGCAAAAGTTTGTAGCCAGTAGAAAAAAAAAACAATTGCTGTCCATCGAATTTTAGATGCCTTAAAATAAAATCGAATGATGTAATTGTGTGCATCTTTGCAAAGCAGGAAGAGAAATATAGTTCTCAAACCAGTATCTACTAGATTGATTGCGAGGTAGAATAGAAAAATTTTGACTTTTTCTGTTTCGGAAATGAACAAGTTTTCCAATTGAATGCCAAAAGGCAAAAGTTTGTAGCCAGTAGAAAAAAAAAACAATTGCTGTCCATCGAATTTTAGATGCCTTAAAATAAAATCGAATGATGTAATTGTGTGCATCTTTGCAAAGCAGGAAGAGAAATATAGTTCTCAAACCAGTATCTACTAGATTGATTGCGAGGTAGAATAGAAAAATTTTGACTTTTTCTGTTTCGGAAATGAACAAGTTTTCCAATTGAATGCCAAAAGGCAAAAGTTTGTAGCCAGTAGAAAAAAAAAACAATTGCTGTCCATCGAATTTTAGATGCCTTAAAATAAAACGGAATGATGTAATTGTGTGCAGCTTTGCAAAGCAGCGAGAGAAATATTGTCATCAAACCAGTCTCTACTAGATTGATTGCGAGGTAGAATGGAGAAATTTTGACTTTTTCTGTTTCGGAAGTGAACGATTTCGGAAATGAACAAGTTTTCCAATTGAATGCCAAAAGGCAAAAGTTTGTAGTCAATAGAAAAAAAAAATTGCTGTCCATCGAATTTTAGATGCCTTAAAATAAAACGGAATGATGTAATTGTGTGCAGCTTTGCAAAGCAGAGAGAGAAATATTGTCTTCAAACCAGTCTCTACTAGATTGATTGCGAGATAGAATGGAGAAATTTTAACTTTTTCTATTTTGGAAATGAACGATTTCGTTTTTTGCTTAGATTTATCAGCAAGCAGAAGTAAGAAGGAAAATATATCATTAGTAGTGGGCTGCGCCGCCTGCTCGCTAACGCTCGCCAACCCCCGAAAATTGCTACGCAATCCTATATGGTTTGCTTCGCAAACCAAGCTCACTTCGCTCGCTGCTAACTTACGTACATTGCAAATGCACAAAATTCTAAGAATTCAAAACAATCAAATCCATATAACAACTTTTTTTTTAAAAAAAATTAAATCTTTTTAGTAAATGCTAAGTCATTAAAGTAAATTTGAATTCAAATAAATGACATATAATTCGTTAAACCTATTAGAAGTTTGCTATAGTTTAAATTCTTAAAACGTAACAGCACGACTGAGACTCATTTTTCAATGAATAACAATAATAAAACAAATAAATTTGTGATATTAATCTAAAATCGTCAAATAAATTCGTAATTCATAAATTCGTGAAAAAAAGCGCTTTCGACAAAATACTAAAATAGAGATCTATCAACAAAGACTACTCACTTCTGCCTAGCTTAATAGTATGAGATTGCCGATAGGGTATATTTCGGAAGAGATCAAATTTGGTGAGAATGCTCTCTCTGGTTATTTCATTTACCGTTTTTAAAAGCGCTATATGTTGAGCCACCTCAACTATATTTGGCATGTGACATTTTTAGTGGCAATCATTGGTCGATTTTCTAGCGTTGTCATTCGGGGAGTTGTAATGAGGCATTTTTTTTTGTCGCCGTGTAAAAGAAATATATATATAGATTTTTTAATGCATGTAAAATATTTAGTACGTAATGCAATAATTATTTTGTAAAATCTACTTGATCTATTCAGCTATTCTTCTCAAGGACAGTATTAAATGCTGAGTCATTGTGGGTGAGTAGTTATCAACAATCTCCACCCTCGTCTATCCCCATCGTAGAATCGAGTTAACATGTCTCATATACAGTAGGGAATTATATTTTTGTAGTGGTAGATACTCTACAGTCATCATAGTTTTAACTAACACTCAAATCAATGACACTCTTTAACAAATAAAAGATGATTTATTCTATGTTGTTTTCAGGTCCCATAGTTTGAGAGCTGCTGCCTATTACGTACATGGACTCAACGCTTTCTTCCAGGCGCGCTATAATGATGCCAAGTAACGTATCACTCCAATGACCTTTTTTCATGTTGCTTAATGTAGTAGGGAAAAAAAAATTATATTCTTTGAAGACATGTAAGAAATGAAATCATCATAGTCCATCCCCCTCCCAACTTTCTTTCTTTTTATATATAAATCAAATCCTCTGATTTTTCTTTTGTTAGTTAATTTTGACCAAGAACAGCTTTTTCCACTTTTATAAATATTTTCAATTTTTTTTTCTTATTTTTTCTGGAAAATTGTAACATGCATATAATTTAATGCCCAAATATCATATAGCCTGAGGTATGTAAAAATTCTAAGAAGCCTTACATGCCAGGCTGAACATGTAAACATTTAGATAAGGGTACTGTTATACAATACGGTCAAGCTTGGAATTAGTCATGAAAAGTCATGAATTTGAAAATCTAAAATGCAGCAGAATAACAAAACAAAGTACAAAATATAAATGAAATAAACAATGTATAATTTTTAATTTATTTTTACTTCAGATGGTATGATAGCCACCCCCTCGAACCTCCCCCACAGGTTGTTCGAGACATTTTTACTTTTACTTTTAAATTTTTTTCCCCCCCCCCCCAGAAAAAAAAGGATGGGATGTAAATACGACGATGCAAAGAAAAACTTTAATATTTTGTTAAAAAAGTGCCCAAACATAGGTAAAAAAAAGGGGTTTGAAATATAAAAATTTTAAACTGTGTTTTTAACAAAGTGTTCAGTGAATAAATTGCTGACGTTAAAAATGCTGTCATTTTAATGTGATTTAACAAATTACCCTCGGTCAAATTCATCCATTGATTTAACATAGAGTCCAGAACTTTTTAATGAACTAACTTATTTTTAATGTTTATTTGTCCTTTAATTGTTGTTAATACACAGCTGTCAACTCTACTGGATTTTGCCAGTTTCTCCTGGTCTATTGGTTTAATTATAATTCTCCTGGTTTTTGTACATTTTAGAACAGTGGTTTCCAACTGGCGACGTGGATGCCGCATCCGGCCCTCGAAGCCTTTTTTTGTGGCTCACGAACTAAAATATATTAGTTGTCATTTTTTGGGGGGACAATTTTCGTAAAAATCCATATGGGTTTAAAATACTTTTCTCGTTAATAAAAACCTAATTTCTTCATTTCTGTGAAATTTATCATACGAACGGTGCAAAAAAAATTTTTTCTCAGGGTTTGCATCTAAGAAAATATTTATTCAAATACAAAAATAATCGTGCATGTTGCTCTTTTTTATTTAATTTTTTTAATATTTTGTGAATATAATTTAGCATGTGTGTATCAGAAATTTTCTCGAAGAAATTCTCCGATTTAACTTTTTGAAACCACTCATTTTGGACGAAAATATTGACACACACATTTGTATATTTTAAATGTAAATATCTATTCTCTGATGGTTGCAGCAGACAAACCTCAATTTTGTCATTAAACATTTTGTGTGCTATGTAAGTTTTTATACCAACCTTTTTAAAGTTTTATATCTTAACCATTAGTTATCTGTTGCTCATTAATTGTTTAATACATGGGTGCACATTAAAGTTATTGTAGCCCGAATTTTTTGATATGCAATTAAATATTTTTAAAAATCTACTTCTTATTTTAATTTGTAATTCAATACTTTTGTTTTGTACAACTTGGTAAAAATTTGACAGTAATATGTAATGTTCCTTCAAACATAAGAGTCCTATAAAATTTTGATAAAGTTGCGGCCCGCCATTTGATTTGTGTTTTTAATTGTGGCCCCCATCCTCATGTAAGTTGGAAACCCCTGTTTTAGAAAATTCCCTAAAATTTTGTGAATTTCTTAAAAAAATTCCTATTGAAATAGAATTTTTGTACAGATTATTGCTTGCTTGCTAAAATATCTAACTAAGTATGACTAATACATAATGATATAAAAGAATCTCATTTATAAAAATCAGTTCAAAACTTTTTCGTTCTAAAATGTTCAGTTAATTTTTATTCAGAACTCTCCTTTAAATTAATTTTAAAAAATTCTTTTAAGGGGGGACCCCACCCTGAATGTTTCAAAAATTTGAAAAAATTTTATTGCAGTTTTTGAATCTTTGTACCCTTTCTAATGTCTGTCTAAAATGATTTCTCGGTACCTATCTTCATTTGGAACTTATACTGAAAAGTAGAGAGTCGTCGCTAAGCAGATAGAAAGACCCCTTCGGCCGGATTGGGAGGGGCGACATTCTTTTTGTGTCTCATCCATTCTGTTGACTGTATATAGAAACTTATTGTAGGCATTTCATTTGTCGACCATTTTATATATATGAAATTAAACGTTTTCCCCTACCATAAGTCGAAACTTTAAACTCGTTTTTCTCAAAACGCTGTTTTTTGACAAGGCCTAACGTTTTTTCTCATGATCTATACAACGAAATAAACTGTTTTTAATTTTAAATTACGTAAAAATGTATTCTTTAAAGAGTAGCATAGGATTTTTTTGACATTTTTATATTTCGATTTTATATTAATATTTTAATGAATATTTTTTTAATGAAAAACTTTTTTTTAAAGTTTCCGCAATTTTGATAATTTTGCGAATATTAAAAAACTGCTATGCTACTTTTTGGATAATGTCTTCATGTTTCAGAAAATCTAAACAAAATCCTTTTTTCCTATGTTTCAAGACTTCTAAATACATGAGGCCAGTGAGGTGCTACTTTTTGATGACCAGCTACACATGGAGCTGCCACCAACTTATTTTTTATTATTCTGTAAAAGAAAATTTTTTAAAATAAATTGTAGCTAAATAACATAAAAAAAACAAGGAGTCTCTGCATTGTCTCTATCACTTAAAAAAAATTCAAGAAGAACGTTAATATTTTACCATCTCAGGGTGGGGTCCCCCCTAAATTATCTTAGATGAAGTAAATACCTATTAATATTCAAAATTATAAGTAAACACAATACATGTCATTTCAAGTATGTTCATAATTGGAACATATCTATAATTAAAAAATATTGTAGTTTTTCTGTTTTGATAATTATTAAAAATCCCTAAAATTCCCTCTGTGTAAAATTAATACATTATGCAACAATTTTCATAAAATTTATATTATTTCATAAAATCTACACTGGATTTTTTCCTATTCATGTTGGCAGTTATGTTAATATTATCCTTGGAAGGACATCTCCTCAAGTCATTTATATCTCTATACTAAATTGAATCTCATTGCACTTTTTTTCCCACTAATTAACAAGTGAAACCATTTTTTTATGTTAAAGCAACCAGATTTAATAATATCTTTTCTTGTGTTATACCATTCATTGACTTATTAAATCTTATAATCTGTTCCAAAACTTATACAGCGTTTAAAAAAAGTATTTTAATACAGTTGAACCTGTTTATCTCAAACCTCTATATCTCGAAAGTTTTAAAAAATTCCCTACATTTACTGTCTAAAATAAATGTATTTTCCATGTTTATGTCGATTTTTTTACTTCAAAACCTCCATTTCTCGAATTTCTAATGATAGAGCACAAATGTCAAAACTTTCCTTATCAGCAGAACTCTTAGACAGAGATGAATTTCGTGAATCCACAGGAAGTAAGGATGAACAGGTTGGGGGTGTTTCTTGGGATTTCAATCACTATCCCTGCACTTCCTTAACTAGAAAGGAATATACTGGCAGTAAGTGAGGGGTTAATGAGTAGTGACCATAGCTTTTCAACATAGATAAGAATAGAAATTCATTTTGACCTCAAAATTGCAACCAATGGATCAAAGGATAATTAAGAGTTTTAAAGTGAACTATAAAAAACGATCTATGAGGAATTTGCGATCTTTCTAACCTCAAAAGAATGATTGAAACAAATAAGGTTATCAGTCAAAAATCTTATTTATTATTTTCAGTGTTAAATGTATGTTAAAAAACTGTTATGTAAATAGATGTATGTGGTATAATTAACTGTCTATATTTTTCTACTAAATAATGTCTATATTTTTCTACTAAAAACAAAGCACTTTTAATCAAATTTCTTAATTAAATTTAATTTCTTTATAGTACCTGTATAACTTGAAACCTCTCTATATCGAATTTTTCGCCTTTCCTGTGAGATTCGAAATAAACAGGTTCGACTGTATTTTTTTTTTTTTTTTTAAATCAATTACAATCAGTTCGAATATTTATGTTGTCTAATGTGATATAATTTTTAAAAAAAATCAACATTAGAATGTGATTTTTTACAATAAGTTTTTAATATAACATCTCTTATTTCATAAAATATGATGGTAATATTGTATTAAAGGAAATTTAAAATGAAATTTTTTTGAAAAGAAAGAATGAATTTATATGAGAAATAATTTTATTTTTTTAACTTGTTTTACTTTCAAAGTTGATTTCAGTTGTTGTTTTGCAGACGATACCTCAGAGAGACACTGAAGATGGCAAATGCGGAAGACTTGAACCGCCTAACATCATGTTCATTAGTTCTTTTGGGTCACATATTCTTCTCTCTTGGAAATAGTAGGGTGAGCAACAATCTTTAAAGTTTCCTTTGTTATTTTTTTAAAATTAAACATATTTATTAATTTATCTATTAACATGGTGCATAGCGTTAAAGGTGTTTATTTTCGATTTTCATTTTTTAAAATCTCTTAAAGGTGCTTTTTTCATGGGGTGTTTTTAAAAAGTGCTTAATTTTCCCTTTTCCAAAATGAGATTTCTTTTCTTTATCGTGTCCATTTTTGCCATCTATTATGCAAAAGCATGATTTTTACATAGTTCTATTCAACTTTTTTACAATTTATTCAACCGCACTCTATTTCAGCGTATGGTTGGTCCATAGCGTATGAATGCGCCAATCATTTTACAGGTTTGATGAAATACTTGGGAGTCCGCATGTGAGCTGGGTTTGTTGATTTAAATCAAATGATTTTTTTAAAAAAATCATTGATTTAAATCAACTGATTTTATATATATATATATATATATATTGATTTAAAAAGTTAAAAAAACAGTGTTTCAAATTATTGATACTTTTATTATTTCTTTTCTAAGTTTTAAAATTTATTTTATATAAATTGTTGCATTAATTAATTTTAGCTAACAAAATTACTTTCTAGGTATGTGTTAAATTCCAAAACATTTGAAATTACATTTTTAAAAATCCTTTGATTCTTGAGATTGAAAGTACAGATTAAAGTAAACATATAAGTTTTTTTTCTCATAATATGTTTACAGTATCTTTGACATTATCAGATTTTCTATAAAGAAATTTTGTGAAAAAAAATTTCAATGAGTACATATGTTTTTAAAAATTTTTTTTTAGCTTATCTATTTTGGTATAAGATTAAAAATGAAAATTTTAATAATAAAAATGTATATAGTAAATAAATGTTTGTTTATTTTTTGATGAATGACTACATTTATAAATACAATCTGTTACATTTATTTTGTAATTTTAAAAATCAAAAGGAAAAAAAAGGAAATCGCAATTTTAAATTATAATTATGGTTTGGCAATTGAAGCTTTATTTTAAAAGTTAAAGTATTCTTTAAATTCTCTATTTCATCTAGTCTTTAAATTTCAAAATGGTTACTATGCATTTAAAGCTATGTATTATAATGCAAAACTGTTTTTGGTAGTTAGAGCTTCTAAAATATTCTTATAATATATTTAGTTTTAATATTAATTTAATTTTGATTAAACATTTATGAAGTTTTTTTAGTCATAAATCAAAGTTCTTTCAGTGTATTTGATTAAAAATAAAAAAAAATCCAATTTAAATTTTAAAAAATCACGAACTCTGGTTCGGTGAGATTATTGCACTCTGCTGCAGCTTGCAAGATATTCATTTTCCACCCTCTGAAATTGAACCGAAAAATCTCTTGGTTATTTTTTTAATAGATAATGCAATCAAGAGAAGAGTTCTTTGTCAAAAACTAGTTATTTTATCGTGAACATATTAAGTCTTTGAAAATTATTTTGCATTTAGTTAATGTATATGGTGCTTAAAATTTTTTTTTATAGTGCTTAAAAATTACTTAAAAAATGCCTATTTTTTGTTGAAAGATTCGGCTACATGCCCTGATTAATTTTTGTCTCAAAAATTTATGTGTGTAAAAACGTATGACAGGGTTCCCATGGTCCTTAAAAGTACTTAATTTTGGCACAAGGTTTTTAAAAATCCTTAATTTTTCAGCATCACTGTCGGAACAATTTTTTTAAAGAAAATACCGTTCTTTTATCACCTAAAATTGGACCATGCATAGAGGGCATTTTAGAGAGACAAAAATGATTGTGTTTGAGCGGAAGGGGAATCTTGTCCTTTTATTAATATTGGTTCTTTCATAATGCTTTTTTCAGAGGCAGTTTGAAGGTACCTAAGTAGAACGCCCACACTAACCTTCAAAATTGACAGAATTCAATTCTACTGGTCAGCTGCTTATAGGAATTAAGTAAAACCCTAAGAAAAGAAGTATCAGAAATATTTTTTGAACTAGAATCCATAACGAAAACTATCTCCTAAAATCTTGAAGAATTTAATTAATTTGTATAATGTTTCAATGTGTAATAAGTAACTAAATTTATTGAAAACAGTGACATTTTTCAAGGGTTCGTTAATTTAAATCAGCTTGATTTGAATCACAATTTAAATCTTGATTTAAATCAATTAATTTTTTTTTTGTCCATATATATTGATTTTAAAAGTTAAAAAACAGTGTTTTAAATTTTTGATACTTTTATTATTTTCTTTTCTTAGTATTAAAATTTCATTTAAATAAATTGCTGCATTAATTAATTTTAGTTAACGAAATTACTTTCTTAGTGTGTGTTAAATTCCAACACATTTGAAATTACATTTTTAAAAATCTTTTGATTCTTAAGATTGAAAGTACAGATTAAAGTAAACATTTAATGCTGTCTTAATATAGACTTGCATAGCTGTAGAAAGTAATTAATAAACATGAATTTTTTTCAAAAAATAATACAAATAATGCTAATTAAAATTCTACCTTTTGAATGAAAAAGCATAAATTAAAATCTACATCATATTTTATTGGTGGAAAATGTATATTTCTGAAGCTTGAGGTCATATTAAAAAGAAATTACCCTAATACGCCAAAAACAGGAAGGAAAAAAAAAGGAGGCTGATGAATTCAGATGTTTTTTTCCTAATATAGTGTCATTCGTCCCTTTCAAACTCTTTCAAAGTCTATTTGATGCAGTAGGGTTATTAACTGGTATTTTTTTCTCATAATATGTTTACAGTATCTTTGATATTATCTGATTTTATATAAAGAAATTTTGTGAAAAAAATTCCATTGAGTAGATAGATTTTCTAATTTTTTTTA